CCCCGCGGGGCGGAGTGAGATCCCCGGCAGGTCTTTAGGCAGCGATTTTGCACTTGTCCTCCAGGGTGTTGGCAAAGCAGCAAACAGTTGTCACAGCTAGGTTTTTAGTGTTTGGTCTGTCTTGAAGCTTTACAACATTTCCTGGTGAAGGTGTTACGGCCCAGTATGTGCAATGTGGTTGTGGACATCACTAACTGCAAAGTGAAAAAAGTGTAAGAAGAAGTAGGCATAGGGCACATGCAATATGCTTGGCACAAATATACTGTGGAAATATATGTCTTCTATACTGGGACTTAGTTTGTCTTTGTATTGCTTGGAAGGAGGAATGGTATTCAGGCAATAGGGCAGAGCAACGTCAGAGATATTGCTCATCTAGCTGCTCTGTTCTTTTAGCTTCTACCCAAGTTACTTTCTATTATCTTGCTCCCATTGAATCGTTTCTAGGTCAGTCATTCAAAGTAACATCACAGGAAGCTACAAAGCTGAGTCTGGCATTTTCGAGGCCTCCACTGACTTCTGCAGAGGTGAGTGAAGGCCCACACAGACTGTGAAATTGCATTATCCGTAACAAGTTTCAGGTGTCTCTTGATTCATTTAATTAAAACAAAGTCACTTGGTTCAGTGCAAACAAGGGATATCGGCATGGGCTATGCGTTGTAGAGTGCATTCATTCAATTCAGGAATTGCCCACAGGACTAATTCATGTAAGTTAGGCAGATATGCCGAGTAGAAGTATTATTACATTCCCTGGTTGGTGATGATAGGACAGTATACGGGACAACACAGACTTTGATCTAACAATGAATACACACTATTTATGCTGTTAATTGGGAGAAGTTTGTTGCACCTGTATTTAGAGAAGAAGGAAAAAGACCTCGAGTTAAGAATAATGATCTGAATTACTTTTTCCTCTCTGATCACAGAATCACAGAATGCATGACTTCCACACCAGGGCAAGTTTTCTTACTAAATCATGAGCGGCTTATGATGTGTACAGCTTGCTCACTGTATTTTCTTGTGCTGTATTTGTTTCTCAAGCAAGATGGCCATTCCTGTGCTTTCCTTTTTTCAGAGCAATGTGAGTGTGAGTGGTTGCATGTGAAGACTTTCTAAATGTGGTGCAGCCATCAAATAGTGAATCATTTTGCTGATCCATTTTCAGGAGTGCCGGAAGCTGAGTGAAGATGTCCAAAATGCCATTCTTGCAGTTGCCACAGTGTACTACTGGCTCCCCAAGGGCCAAGGTGAGACAGTGACAACAGGGCAGTCACCACTATCTAGGGTGGTGGTTCTTTCACCACTGTATAAAGAAACACAGTATTTCAGAGCCTAATATGAGATCAGACATCTGCAGGAAAGCAAGTTGTCATGAGCAGGTAGCCCCAGTACCAGCTATTCGATAGACTTACAACATGTTTGTGAGTGAATCGTTTGTCTGTCTACTCCTGCAGGTCTCCATCTGTGGAAGAGTTATAATGTAGGAAGTGGTATAGTTGATTGAGCATTCATATTTATAAAGTATTGACATCCTTGTCCAAAGTCCCCTGTTCCTTGGAACAGGGAAACACATTGCTTCCTTCAAAATACCTGTAAATTAATCTTATTTAGTGTATCCACACAGATGGAGCAGTCTGTGTGTTCATCTTCAGCAGTTGCTTTCTGTTGGTGCTGACTTTGTTGCTGTTTCTCAATCTCGACCAGGTACTACTCTTCGGAAAATGGTACGAGATGCTGTCACTGAAGTAGTGGAAGGAATGATCCAACTCACAGAAACAATTCTCAGTGCTCCATTGGAGAGGTAGTAATTTTCCAGAAAAAGAAAGTAAAAGTTACAAGCACGCTTGTTAGGAAGTGCAGCAAGTGCAGGCTGCTTCCTAAGGGAAGGAGGGGAGCAGAAGCAGAGTGTTGTTATGAGGCAGGAAGAGACTGACCTCATTTGCAGAGATGCTGTTCCCCAGTATCTGAGTGAGCAGAGCAGTGCTGGTGAGGACAGTGAGGTTCGGTTGAGAGTCCGGATCATCAGAGAAGCCCACAGTGATGAGGTCAAGCTGGAAAGTCAGGCCAGCGAGTCAGGTCCAGATTGAGTAACCAGCATCAGACACCATCCAGTGATTGCCCAGCATGTCCATTGCAGTGGGTTGGGTCTGACGTCAAGGCAGGAAGGCTGTATCAGTGAATCGGGATGCAGGTCAGAATCAAGGGAGTATGAGACAGGTTGCAGACATAACTGCTTCCCAGCTGTGATGTAGCACAAACAGGGTCCAGTGAAAGAACCTCAAGGTAAAAGCATCTGCTAGTATAAGGGAGGACTTCTCACTTCTAACTTTCTTCACGATACCTCCTGTTAGCAGAGAAGTTGACTTGATACTTAGCCAACTAAACTGCAGCCGTGCCAACTAAACTGGTGGGTGGAATACACTCAAGGCCCTTGACAGTACCTTCTTGTTCCAGTGCCTGAGTCAGGTGCATTCGTCTACATGGACACCAGATTGTCATCCTCTCTGTGGCAAGGAAAGATGCTGGGAGCCAGATTCCAATGAAGGTGCTGGGTAGCATTTGCACCATTGGGTAGTCTTTGCCCTGGGAGTGAATTGTCATATGCAATAATTGTGCAACTTTAGAAAGCTAGTTATTGGACTGCTATGGACCACTTCTTCTCTTTACGGATTACATGCTACTCCCCTTAGGCAAAGGTCAACGAACAGGCTTCTGATTTGCGTAAATTTTGAAAAATAGTATGCCTAAGCATCTTGAGAGGCCTTTGTAAGAGGCTTATTGTTCCAGTGGATAATTAAACTCAGTAGGAGCTACTACTTTTGCTTTACTCAGACATCAGATACTAGTGATAAACTAGTTGTTGACATCTTTCCAGGAGAGCATCTACTAGTGTGCATCATTTGGTGCAGAAAGTAAAACCAAACTAATAGAGTGATGTTACTGAGTCTTAACTTTCAGGGGCTTTGTTTTCTTTCAGCTTGTCTCAGGAACAGCTTATATCAACTGGTGGTGTGTGGGAGGCATGTGAGCAAGTGTCCAACCTGCCAAGAGGTGAGTATTTTATATGCAGAACAACAGAGCTAGCATGTCTTGTCTTGGAATATCAAGCGTTCTAGCTAGTACAGTGAAGACTCACTCATTCTGCAAAAAACCAACTGTTTTTAAAATGCATTCATCGGTGACCTGAATGAGGGAACAGTGCACTGTCACCAATTTTGCTAGTGACAAAAAACCTGAGAGGAATGACTGACACACCAGAAGGCTTTGCTTCCATTCAGCAAGATCTAGACAGGCTGGAGGGTTGGACAGGGAGAAATTTAATGAAATACAAGAGCAAGTGTGGAATCTTGCATCTGGGAAAGAACAACCTGATGTACCAGTATAGGCTGAGGGCTGACCTGATGGAGAGCAGTGTAGGGGAAAGGGTCCTGAGGGTCCTGGTGGACAGCGGGATGCCCATGAGCCAGCAATGTGCCCTCGTGGCCAGGAAGGCCAATGGCATCTCGGGGTGGCTAGTAGGTCAGAGAGGTTCTCCTCCGCCTCTACTCCACCCTGGTGGGGCCACATCTGGAATATTGTGTCCAGTTCTGGGCCCCTCAATTCAAGAAGGACAGGGATCTGCCTGAAAGAGTCCACTGCAGAGCCACAAAGATGATGAAGGGAGTGGAACTTCTCCCCTGTGAGGAAAGGCTGAAGGAGCTGGGTCTCTTCAGCTTAGAGAAGAGGAGACTGAGGGGTGACCTCGTTCATGTTTATGAACGTAAAGGACGAGTGTCAAGAGGATGGAGCCAGGCTCTTCACAGGGATGTCCAATGACAGGACAAGGGGCAATGGGTGCAAGCTGGAGCACAGGAGGTTCTGCAAAAACATGAGGAAAACCTTTGTCACTGTGAGGGTGACAGAGCACTGGCTCAGGTTGCTCAGAGAGGTCTGGAGTCTCTCCAGAGACATCCAAAACCCGCCTGGACACGTTCCTGGTGATCTACTTGAGGTGATCCTGCACTGTCAGGGGCTTGGACTAGATGATCGTTTGAAGTCCTTTCCAGCCCAGACCATTCTGTGAAGCTTGGAAGCCAGGTCAACTTCTTTGCCTGGCAGCAGTACACCTTTGAGCTTTGCAAAAATTTTGATCCTATAATCCGAAGATCTAATCATCGCAAACTTAGATGAATGTTGTTGCAAACTGATTTGAATCAGTGCAGTGCCACAGTTATCATCCTTTTGCTTTTGCAGATAACCAGGCAGCAGTTGCATCAGCTCTGTCTGCGTGTCTGGGTGTGGTCAAAGACGCGCTGGAGGAGATGGAACATGTAAGGAAGACCCTAAGCCTTTGAGGAACCTGCAGTGATGGACTGCAGCCATGATGGTTCAATGATGGAACATGGGGATTGCTTTTTATATAGTCTTTGATTTATGTTTGTTCCGATACGAGATAGATTGTTGTATTACACCTGGATCTTAATGAGTTTTTAAACTCATGCCTGGTTTATTTTATAGAAAATTTCTATAAACATATGTCCTGAATTGCAGGGGAGCGGTGCAGTGGGGCATGGCAGCATAGGTTGGTGTGAGAATGGCACTATTTGCCAGGTTCTTGTTTGCTCTGTTGAATTGGAGTTGAGGACTAGTTTTTCTTAATCCAGTCCTGGTAGGTTCAACAGAATGTAGCTACTGAGATGCTGGCTGGAGAGAGGTTCCTCTGTAAAATTATTTGTATGGTTGTTTCCCCTTTCCTCCTGGGTATTGGTGGAATTGATGTTAGGCTCTGGGTTTTCAGTACATTTTGTGTCCTCAGGCTCTGGTGGAAGGGCAAGACCCCTACAGTGACATCATGGAAGATGAAGAGCTGGGCTTTCGGGGCAACAGAGATACCTATTGGTCAGAAGCTGACCGGAAGCTACTTAGCTCCTGCATGGGATTAATGAAGGCTTCTAAAGCTTGCCTGAAGAAGGTCTTGGGTGTAGTGAAGGCTTATGGCAAAGCCGATTCTCCAGAGCACATTGCTCAGCTGGATGATCTTGCAGACATTGCTAATGAAATCAGCCCAAGGTAAGCACATCTCTCTCCATGCTGCTGTTACTCCAGAGCAATCCCTGTGGTTCTTGAGGTCTAGAGAACAGATTAGTGAAACCTTCCTGATACTGAAGCTGTGAGCAGGTGGTGGACGCAGATGGTGGGAAGACTGTTATGGCACAGGGTATTGAGAATTGTGCAAATTAGGATGTTGCACCTTGGGGTGAAGCTGTGTCCATGTCTCTCTCTAATGTGAGAGTCTGAGAAGGCAGGGAGAAGCATCCATGGGTATGACTGATGTCTCCTTTCTGTTCCTGCCTTACATTCAGGGTGGATGTATTCTTTGACCAGGGTCTGTGAGTTGTGCTATCAGGGCCTTTCTTCCATTGCTCATCTCTCTTCTATTCTAGTGTTGATGAGCTGGCACTGAGCATGTATCCACCTGTGAATCAGCTGGCTGTACGACTCAATGTAAGTATCTGGAGCCTGTGTGTGGGTCTGCTCATTTGGCTGGTGTATATGTATACATATACACACACCTCCCTATATATATATATCTGTATCTGTATCTATACCTCTCTCTATATGTATACCTCGTTGGAGGTATTAGGTGGGAGTGTTGATCTTCAGAGGAACCTGGACAAGTTGAGTCAGTGGGCCGTGGCCAGTTGTATGAGCTTCAACAAGGCCAAATGCCAGGTCCTGCACTTGGGTCACAACAACCCCTGGCAACGCTACAGGCTTGGGGAGGAGTGGCTGGAAAGCTGATCAACAGCTGACTGAGCGTGAGCCAGCAGTGTGCCAAGGTAGCCAAGAAGGCCAACAGCATCCTGGCCTGCATCAGCAGTAGTGTGGCTAGTAGGACAAGGGAAGTGAATTTACCCCTCTACTCAGCACCAGTGAGGCCACACCGTGAGCACTCTGTTCAGCTTTGGGTGCTGCAGTACAAGAAAGACATCAAGGTGCTGGAAGGGCAACAAAGCTAGTGAAGAGTCTCGATAATCTATTATGAGGAGTGGCTGAGGGATGTGGGGTTGTTTAGTCAAGAAAAAGAGGCTGAGGAGAGGCCTTACTGCTCTCTACAACTACCTGAAAGGAGATTGTAGAGAGGTGGGTGTTGGTCTGTTCTCACAAGTTAAAACCGAGAGGAGCCAGGAGAGTTTTAGGTTAGACGTTAGGAAAAACTTCTACACTGAAAGGGTTATCGAAGACTGCAACATGCTGCCCAGGAAAGTGATTGAATCGCCATCCTTGGATGTATTTAAAAGCTGTCTAGATATGGTGCTTAGGGACATGGTTTGGAAGTGAGCCTGGCAGTTATATAATGGCTGCACTTGATGATCTTAAAGATCTTTTTCCAGGCAAAACCTTTCTGTGGTTCTTTATGACTGTCAGAGAGAGGTGGATGCTAGTGATTGTCTCAGTAACAAGTTCTTAGGGATGAAGAGTTCCCTTTGGTCCTTGCACATGTAACCTCCTTCAGGTGCAAATGCATTCCTTATCTTACTCAGGAAAGAGCATGGCCACTAGAGCTTTGGCTCAGTACTGTGGTCCATAGAGAAGTCCAGTGGTAGTACCTCAGGAAAGTGCGGTCTAAGGCTGCTGATGTACTGCATGTCTACTGTGTTCCCTGAGTGATGTAGACTTGCTCAAATAAAGTTATCTGCATTAAAAATGCAAATTAAAAATTCCCACAGTGAGTGTGGTTTAGCACTAAAACAAACTGCTCAGAGGAGCAGTGGAAACTTGGTATTTGGCAATATTCAAACCTTCACTGAGCAAGGCGCTGAGCAACCTGACTGAACTTTGAGGTAGGCCTCGCTTTGAGCAAGAGGTTTTGCTGGATGACTTGCATGGATCACTTGCATTGTAAACGAAGTATGTGTCTACTCGTATCTGGAATTATTTATTCTTAATTCTGGATTTGTGCCTTTGGCCAGTGGCTTGTTTTTGGCGGGGGTAAAAAAGAAAGTATTGCTTCATACCAAATTACAATCAGTCACTTGTAACTATGTGCCTTGGTATCAGTTACTAATTTCTAATAGTTTCTAATAATTGTAATTTATGCTTTAAAAAACATCCTGTCTTTATTTTCACGTGTCTCAGTCAGGAGTAGGTCGGGAGACACTCCTGGCACGATAGATGGCTTCCTTCTGCATCAGAATCTGTGGTGGTTTTACTTATTCTTGAGCATGTTGGGCATTCCTTCCCACTCCCTTCACCCCCTTTTCCAGTGCTGCTGAGCTCCTTTGTTTCCATGTTTGGCTGACTTTACTTCCCTTTTGTTTCTTTCTAGGCTGCTAAGTTGGCCTCAGTATTAAATAAAGTCTTGGAGATTACAAAGTGAGTATGAGTTCAGTTCTGTAAGTGTGTGTACCCTGCTGTGAAGGTTTATACCTTTCCACCTCCTGTCAAAAATGACTCATTTCTAGACAGTAAATGCTGGTGTTTTGGAATAATTATGGTATTATCCAGTCACAAAGGGAGGTGGGAGTAAGAAAATTATAGTAGAGATGAAAGTGGTTCCCAGTGAAGACACACAAATACATGTTAAGTTCTGGGACTAGAGACTGGATGTGGGTTCCTACTTGTGCAAAGCACACTGGGGCTACAGCAGTTCTGTTTTAACGCTGTCGTAATTCAGCGCTTCAGAATACCCATGGGTTGTCTGGATGCATGGGTGTAAGACACCCAGGAAGCTTTCCTAATGAGTTTCCTCCACTTTTGCAGGACAAGCCATGTATGTCCACCATCAGAGGAAGGCTGGGTGCAATTTCTAACTGGTGCAGTAGATCACAACATGAACAAAATCAAGAACTTCACACAGGGTCAACTTTAGCACTTCCATGTCTACGTGTGTTGGTGCCACTGGCTCTGGCATATGTTTTTCCAGTGAATCTCACTGTTCTCCAGGTACTGGGAGAACAATGAGAACAATGTTTGTAGGAAAGAGCTTTAATGCCCCTTGGTAAAACTTTCCCGGGAAGTTGCTCTTTGCCGTGGCAGAGGGTGTCATTTTGCTTGGATTCCTGGGGTGATGTGGTGCTGCATCTTAATGCTCTGAACATGCCCCATTCCTCAGACCTTGCAACTACTATGGGGTTCAAAGAACAATAAAATACTGCTAGATTTCCATGTGTGGCTTTATCCATTTTCAGGTGGCAGAGGATATACACAGAAGGAAAGGGTCTTGTTTTGTTTGCAAGCAGTCCAGTGAACCATTAAAAGATATACAGCACTGCTACTATTTATTGTCTGATGTTGGAGTGAACTATCTTTCTCTTTTCTGTTTCCTCAGAAAGCAGTAGAAAATATTACTTACCACTTTACCAACCTCAGAGGTCTGTAGGGATGTAAGAGTGTATCTCTAGAGAAATGCTACATCTGTCATCACTTTAAAGTTCTAGGAAATCCTTTTTTTGCCACAGGTAGGAAAAAATGACTAAGCAGTGGTGGGTTCAGCATAGTGAGAAATGCAGCATCTGTTTAAGCATTTAGCCCTCCTTTGTCACAGTAAGATTCAACTTATACAACTGGAGAGTGAGCATATAGTGGCAGGTGGGAGAAAGCAGAGTTTGTACAAATAATCAAAATCAGGTGTGGCATTAAATATAACTTTAATCAAACTGTTGACATCTATGCTTGCCTGGGATCAGGGCACGGATCGTTACCACTCTTGTAAACAGGACTGAAGCTGGGCATCAGGCAGCTACAGTGTTTATGGTTTTGTAGCTCCTCAGGCTCTGGAGTTGAAGGGAGGTAAGATATGCAGTGAGTCTTCTGGGCCCCGCTTGGGTGGGAATTAATGGGATTTGCAGCTGTTGAATGCTTTTAGGTTGCACAGACCCCAACCTGAAAGGTGAGAAGGGATTATACAGGAAGTGCACATCTTTGTATTTTTAGTTTTCAGGGCTCAGGAGATGCATTTTGTAGACAGGGAGGTGGTGCCAGAAAACAAAGGGAGGAAAATAAAATAGGAGGTGGCTAGCAGTTATCTAAACTGCCACAGTGGAATTGTGATCTGAGAGTAGTTTGTGAGGGAGATAGAACAGGAGGGTTGAACTCCCCATAGAAGTATGTAAGGTTACTTTGTCCTAATGTGGCTACTTGAGAGAAATGTGTGGATTTTTTCGTGTGAAGGAGATCAGGCTTTTTTGGATGACTTGTAGTTAAGTCAGGTTTGCCTTGTTCTTCAGTAGAGAAGGGAAATACGCTGTTAAAGTTGTACCCAGGGACTGTATTTATTGCTTACAGGGGGTAATGGGTGGAAAGAAATGTCACAAACAGTATAGTTTAACCCCTTACGGATGTTCAGGTGCCTGTCTAAAAAGCAGCTGATTTCTCAACAGCAAGTAATTTCTAAATTTCAGTGACCTGTAATTTATTTAATGTGTATTTCTGCCTAACTCTTGTGGTATTTATCTTGTTAGCCTTTTTTGCTGGCCGGGGAATTTCCTTCTACACTCTACGCCTTTGGAAGTATTTTTTTCACAAATGTCATACTGGCCTTGGTTTATGTATTGCACATCTGTTGAAAGTTCTGTTATCTGGATTTTCTTCTTTTCAGTGCAAAAATCTGTACTATCTGTAAATAAAGAGCTTTCATGCTGTAGCGGTCTCTTACTGCCACATTATTCCCCACTTATTTTTGGGAGCAGTATGCTATGCAAGAGTTTCTCTAGCTTGTTTCGTATCTTTTTTTTTTTTTTAAATTTACCATTCTTAGGTCGATGATTTTGCACTTACCTGTACTTCCTTTGTCTGTAAATGAGCCCTCGCCCTGCAACCACTATCGCACACTTCTCCAGTGGTTCACTGAGAGGATTCTGGAGGCTGATCTTTGCTGTGCTTGGCTGATACTGCACCATGTTTTCTGGAAACTGTTGAAAGAAGGAAATGAGCTGAAACAGAGAGAAGTAAAGAGGTTCTTCTATGATTAAAGGGAGGTAAATGATTTTTTGGTGCCAGAGGTGTCAGTCTGAGCTGCCAGTTGCCAGAAGAGGTGAAGTCCAGCTTCTGTTCTTTTCATGTACAGTCTTCTGCTGTACTTTTCTTCTGCAGCCTCTTATTTTCTACTAGTTAGTTAGGAGTTGTTGGGATTTCTCTTAGACTCAACACACAGACAAGGTAGAAGTGGGATTACCGTATACAAGTGTGGCACAACTTGCCTTTCCCAGACTGACATCTCCGTGCTTTGAAAGAAGGCAACCTGAGGAGCGCCACTCAACCCAGCAGAGGTTTTGTGCTGCTTATGAAAGCTGTTTTCTCACTAGTGCAGTAGCAGAATGATAGCCCAATCTAACCTCAATGTCGAGAGGGGGATCACAAATGCTGGTCTCTTCCTGGGTGAAGTATATATAGCAGGAGTCCTCGTCTCTCAGCGTTGCAGTCAGCCTAAGCAGATGGTTCTCTCCCAACTCTTTTCTGTACTGTGAGTAAGGCACAGAGACCTGCAAATTCCTAGCTGGAATACAGTGTTGAAATACAGATGACAATGCAGATGATAAGTACAGCCTGGTCTTAGCTTGCATGACACCTAGGAGTGTTTAGTGCTCAACATTGTACTAAAAGGTGCAGCATTTAGAAGCTCAGGTGATCCTGACTGCATTTGCGGATTCATAATCTTTAAAGTCCTATTGCCAAAGTGTTTTATTTCAGTCACCTACAGTGAACTATTCAGCCGTTTTGTGAAGTTACGGCTAAGTGCGTTTTTCCTGAAGTGAGAGAACTAGATGTAATTTCCTTGCCATGACCTCAGTAGAGTCCTTACCTTCATTGCTTTTGAGGACAAAATGAAACTCTTCTTTCCAAAGCTGGCCAATGGGCACACCAGTATAACATAGAGACTGGGCCCCAACTACCAGGTGAGTAGCCTTTTCCCCACCACTGTGGTTAAACACTTCAATGGACAGTGGAAGATCATGTCCCCGTAGCAGAGAACTCTCCGACTGAAGGTGGATGAAAAGGTTAACTGGCTCTTCAGGAGCAGTCGGAATGGAGCTGCATTGTGTTTTGCTGCTGCTGGTTGTCTCATGCGTCTTTATCTTTCTGTAGACTTTGTCAAGTACTTCTTTTTCCTGAAGAGAACCTGTCACAGAAAAGGGAGCACATATTTGAGTATGCTTCCCTGTTTTCTAGTGTGAGACAGTAAATGCAGAACAATGGTGTTGAATTAACCTGGCAGCACTGTAGATAACTGTTTCTAAGAACATAAGAGAGATACCCTGTTGTGCTGGTTCAAGCAGTTCAAGAATTTCAGGTACCAGGACATTCATTGGATGTAACTTAAAGATTCTATTTGGAAAGACTCACCGCAGTTTTTAAAGCGCCTTGACGCTAACATCAGTCAGAGTGAAAGAGGCAGTTTGCCTCTAACTATAGTTGTAGCTAGAGCACAGTACTATGTTCCCTTATGATGGACTGCAGCCAAGGAGACAACGTGCCATAGGTGGTAAGGTTGGGTCAGGGAGGCAACGCTCAGTAATAGATTCTGAAGGCAGATTTCGAGGGAAGGATTTAGACAACATCTGGGTGCAACGGGTCTGGGAAACAGCACTCAGTAACAGATTCTGAAGGGGGGTTTTGAGGGAGGGATTTGGACTGTGAGCACAAGAGTCCTTTTCAGAAAGCTGGAGTCTGAAATATATCTATATATTTTACGAAGCTAATAGGAGGTGACTATACAGAGCATATAGGTAACAGAAGGTTTTCCAGTGCTTGGTGAAGAAAGGTCTGGCCTTCTAGAGAGATAGTTAATGTAATTAGGCAGGATGAAATTTGAGCTGTGACCTGAGCTTTGATTCTGTAGACAGCAAGAGTAAGGTGTTCTTGTGCCATTCAAGAAGGGGAAGTACTGAGCAGTGGATGACCCTAATGCTCTCATATGGCTCTGCTTTTAACTTGTAGCAGTGACAGGGAATGTGTTCAGCCGCTTGCCTATCACTTACCTTCAGGGTACTTGTAGTTGTGTGTGATATCCTCACAGCGTTCACTGCCCACACTCTTCGTACTGATACTGTTGCCAATGTACTTTGTGGCACCAAGAGCTGGCTTGGGGGTGTCACCTGGTTTGTGTATCCAGACCTGGCACTTGGCGTTGATGGCAGCAAAGAAGTTGCAGACATCGTAATCAACTTCTGTGTCCCCTTCCTTGATGGCTAGAACAGGGGCTGGTCCACAGAAGGATGGACCTGAAAGAAAATATGGCCCAGTTAAGATTCAGATGCGTTGCCAACTAGACCCACGTCTAGCGTAGACCTATACTGGGAGTGGTGAAGTATCTAGATTAGGAGGACGTTAGGAAGCAGTGCTGTGATAGAGCTACACAAACTGCACAAACCAAGTAGATGAACAGTGGTTTAGTTCTTCAAGTCAACAGGGTGAATCCCTGGAAACTGGGGAAAGGAGGAATATTGAACTGCTTTATTTCCCTCTGCTTCACTCCCTCCCTGCAAGCCAGTCTTTGATATCTTACCTTTGCTTTTTTCCTGACAGGTGGCATCCAGAGCCTGCCACCCACTGTACTTTGGTAGCAAGTCCGCTCGAGCCATCCAGCATTCATTCCAAACGTGAAAGGTCCTGCAAGAGACGACATCACGTGCTTATACCAAGGGACTGAACCCTGAGGTACAGTAAAGTTTTAGCCAAACCACAATCAAATAATGCTCATTTGAAAGAGATCAGTGCATGTTGAGAAGAGCAGAAACTGTGGGTTTTGACACAAGCAGAATTTCTCCAGCTGTACTGGGTTATCATGATTCCTTTATGGGCCCTAGTAATAGGGCACTTCAGTTTGGGTTGTGGTGATTTCTCAATAACAGCTCATGTAGACAGGATCTCAGCTGAGCTGTCTCCTGTCTACCTCCCTGCAGCTCTTTACCTCTTTCTTTCTCCCCACCCTCTATCACTTCCTAGTTCCAGTTATTGTCTCAAAATCTTGCTTGGGCCATGCTGTGTTTTCTTACCAGACACGATCACTCTTGTCTTGTGTAAGCAGTGTACCATCTTCGCCATAGTACTCGTCCACACTCAGGCAGCTCTTAGTGTTGTGAGCCCATGTAAAGCCTGTGACCACCCTGGTAGGAACTCCCAGGCACCTCAGAACTGTGCAGAAGAAAGAGTTGTGAGTTAG